CTAGCAACCCACCACCTAGGTATTAAGCGCAACATGCCTTAGCTCTTTTCCTTAATGCTCTTCCCCGCCCACCCTCCCCGAACAGGTTCCAGTAAGTGTTGTTACCCTCCCTGTGTCTGTGCGTTCTCATTGTTCAGCTCCCACCTGTGAGAACATGTCGTGTTTGGTTTTCTGTTCCTGTGTTAGTTTGCTGAAGATAATGGCTTCCAGCTTCATCCATGTCCCTGCAAAGGACATGATCTCATTCCTTTTTATGGCTGTAAAGTATTCCATGGTGTATATGTAGTAGTGTTTTTTACTAATGATTTATAGAGCAAAGTCCTGCCACATAGGGCCTTAATGTAACTTCCATTCATCTTGTGAGTTGATAGAACTCTTATAAGTTGATGTAACTTCCATTCATCTTGTGAGTTAATAGAACTCCTATGCCTGCCCAGAGCATCCAGAGAGCCTTTTACTGGCATCCAAACCACACTAATGTGCCTTCTTTTTGTGAATGACCTTGGGACGGTCTCTGAGCAGAGAGTTATTACATTGTTATTCCTATCGTTATTATTATTACTTTGTGCAATGTGTCACACTATCTTCAAAATGTCTTTTGGTCATCACACCAGTATCACTGTGAAGTAGTCACAGCAGTGACATAATGTATGGTTATTAGTGGTGGTACTGGGTAAGAACACTCACTCCAGAGCCAGACTGCCTGGGTTTGCATCCTGGTCCCACCAGTTCTAACTGTGACTGTAAAGATGTTATAAAATCTCTCCAGGCCTCAGCTTCCTCATCTATAAAATAAGGAGAATAATACTTCCTGCCTTCTTAGGTTATTGTGACACAAATTGACTAAATATTTATGGAGTATGTAAAAGAGTAATTGACACAGAATAATCACAATAACATCATCACCAGCACTACTATCAATGTCAGCAGCAGCAGCAGCATCACCATCATCACCACCACATCATCATCACTACCACATCACCATTACCATCATCATCACCATCATTGTCTTCATCATTGTCATCACTGTCACCATCATTACCATCATCTTCACCATTATCACCACCACTACTATCATTATCACATCACCATCACTACCGTCATCATCATTACCACCCCACCACCACTCACCATCATCACCCCACCACCACTCACCATCATCATCATCATCACCATCACCACCACCATCATCACCATCACCACCATCATCATCATCTCTACTTTACAACAGAGGTTCCAAGAGCTTGTGATCTGCCCAAGATCCCATTTCCAGTACAAGCTGGGGAAAACACTGAAGTTCAGGTGTCATGGCTCCAAAAGAAATGGACTTTCTTTCCTCTTGGTCTTTATTTTATTACACAGCAACAAAAAAATATATTCTTGTTATAAAGGGTTGAGATGATATAGCTGCAAAGGAGAATGTGAGGGTCCCTTCCTTTACTTCTTCCCGGCTCTCACCTCTTGCTCCAAAGGTAACCACAGCAAACTAGTTGGGGTACATTCTCCCTGTCTTCTCTCCAAGAAGGGCACACATATAAGATCAATATACATATACATGTGTGTACTCATTGATGTAAATAATCATAAGAGTGTCTGCCTTACAGGATTGATGAGGGGGTTGAAGAAAATTATGCTTTTAAAGCACTTAACATGGTGCCAGGCAATATACTAGGTTCCTAATAGTGCTCTCATCAACTGCGTGGGGTAAGTTCTATTATTTCTACCCATTTTATTGATGTGGAAGCTGAAGATTGGAGAGACTGTCACATGCACAGGATCACACAATACTGAAACTGGATTTGAATCCAATTAGCTTATGTGGTTATTTTATAGGTATTAATTTTCCACTTGATTTTCTTCTCTTAGTAATATTAGCTTGAACTGTTTCCATGTGTGTACATGTGAGTTTACATCAGTCTTGTAACGGCCACATGTGAATCAGTATTCTAAGTACTTCTTTATTGGGGTTGTTGTTGTTTGGTTTGGTTTGTTTTTGAGATGGGATCTTGCTCTGTTGCCCAGGCTGGAGGGCAAGTGGCATGATCTCGGCTCATCACAGCCTCAGCCTCCTGGGCTCAAGCAGTCCTCCCACCTCAGCCTCCAAGTAGCTGTGACTACAGGTGTAAGCCACCATGCCAGGCTAGTTTTGTTTATTTTTTTGTAGAGACAAGGTCTCACTTGTTTGGCTCAGGATGATTTTGAACTCCTGGGCTCAAGTGAGCCTCCTGCCTAGCCCTCCCAAAGTGCTGAGGTTAGAGGCATGAGCCACCATGCTCAGCCTGGAATTGATTTTTGTATAGGTTGTGACTTAGGAATCTAGATTTTATCTTTCTCTAAGTGGAGAACCAGTTGTCCTCTCTATTTATTGAGTAATCCATTATTTCAGCTCATTTGAACTATTACCTTTATCATAAACTGAATTCCCTTGTATGTACAGCTATGCAACTGATCCCTCTCTTCTGTACTGTTGATTATTTTCTACACCCACACCCATAGTAAAGTACTTTAATTATTTTAGACTTAGAAAAAAATTTTATGACAGGAAGGGAAAATCCTTCCTTATTGCTGTTCTTTCACAAAAAAAAATGTATTTTTGTGTGTGTGTATTTATTCTGTCACGTAAACTTATAGAAGCAGCCTGTCAAGGTCTGTAGAGAAAATTCCTGTGGGTGTTTAGACTGGGTGTTGCATTAATAGGTTCATTTTTGATAAATCAGCATCTTTACAATATTTAGTTTCTCCATCTAGAAATATCATATATTTCTATTTAGGTCTATTATGTTCATCAGTTAAGTTCCATAATTTGCTTTATGTAGATCTTACATTGGAGGGTTTATTAGTTGTTATTACAAATGGGATCCCATTTTCCCTTTACATTTAGTTAATTTTTATTGCTAGTGAATAGGAAATAATGGTTTTTATATGTTAATTTTTTATTTAGCCATATGACTCGATTTTTGTATTCATGATCTTTATACTTCTTTTTCTTGACATCACATTGGCCAGGAGGAAAACAATGTAGAATGATATTGGTGAAAGTGTACACCTTTGTCTTGTTTGTCTTTTTCCTGTCTTTAATGAAAATGCCATGAAGGTTTCACCACTAAATATGATAAATACACTTGATCAGCTTGAAGACATTTCTTTCTATTTATAGTTTACTGAGAGATATGCTTTTCACTGCGGATGACACCATGCTCTTGTCAACGGGCCTTTATTTTTTCACTTAACATTTACCTTAAGAGTCCAGAGATTGCCCGGACTAACTTGGACCTCCCAGCACTGGCATCCTAGCTGAGCGAACCTGGTTTAGAACTGAGCACTTAGGACTGAGTAATGTCTTCTTTCTTCCTCCTTTCTGCTCACATTTGACCTCAGATGTCCTACAGGCAGGAGCTACTTTGTGTTGATATTTCCTGCCTTCTCTCACCACTCTCCCCCAGCCCTACCCTTCCTCCTGCAGAAAAGTAAAAAATTTTACAAATAAATAAAAAGTAGCATGTGGCCGGGCGCGGTGGCTCACACCTGTAATCCCAGCACTTTGACAGGCCGAGGCGGGTGGATCACAAGGTCAGGAGATCAAGACCATCCTGGCTAACACGGTGAAACCCCATCTCTACTAAAAATACAAAAAATTAGCCGGGCGTGGTGCCGGGTGCCTGTAGTCCCAGCTACTCAGGAGGCTGAGGCAGGAGAATCGCATGAACCTGGGAGGCGGAGCTTGCAGTGAGCCGAGATCGCACCACTGCACTCCAGCCTGAGCAACAGAGTGAGACTCCAACTCAAAAAAAATAATAATAATAATAAATAAATAAATAAATAAATAAAGTAGCATGTGGACAAGGACAAGAGCACCACTTCTGGAATTTTCTTGCAGGCACCACTGAAAATATTTTTATTCCTAACTTCTAATTTAAATAACTTCAATTTTTTTTTCCACCTGATTATCTTAAATGGCTCACCACCACCTCACGTGCTGGTTGCTAAGCGGATCTTGTAGTTTTTACAGGAAGGTATGAGAAAGGAATTACCACCTGACATCTGATTTCCTGTTGCAGTTTCGTTCAGGTTCTGATGCAGGATGCAGCCATTTTTAACTCTTTCTCGACCACTGCCTTGTACATGGTTAATGCAGAAGAAATGTTTTGATGGTGAATTGATGGAAACGATTTAATCAGAGTCCATCTGAGAGCTCTTAGGTGGCGATGATTTTTTGCTAGGCTGTGAATGAAAGGATTTGTTCTTGCCAGGCATGTATGTGGAGTGTGACTCTAATGTGATTTGGCACCTGTCTAGAAAATTGTCCCTGTATCCAGTGACACTTTGCTTTGGGGAAGTCAACACCTGCTGTGATGGCATCTGTCATATTTAGGAATGTGAAATGCCCATGAATAATGCACAGCCACCTTAGTAAAATGCCTTCTCCAGAAAACTCTTCATGTAAGCCACTGGCAAAAGATTATTGCAAGCTGCATAGAAGAGACTTTGGGCCCCCTTTGAGATAAAAGCAGTGGATGATGTATTTTACTATAGCTTTCCTCACCTTGATGTCATTGGGGTAGATTTTATTATTTTCAGATTGTTTAGCCAAGAAAGCAAGAACCTGCTAAATATAAGGGTCATTTATTTTTGGTTGGTTTGTTAGAAACAGCATTAGCTCCCACCAAAGTGGGGTTTTGGGGAGATGGAGTGACTCATCTCAGGCATATGGTGTGTTACTGGCAGCCATCCAGGTCAAGAGGGACACATAGAAGCCAGAAACGCTGAGAGGCAAGGCAGCCCCACCAGGCAGCCACGGGTAGCTGGCCTTTGAGCCCCTCCCAGTTTCAGTGAAGTTGGCTTTAGCTTCCGGGGCTGTTGGTGTAGGAAGTTTGGTCAATTAGACAATTATTTTTCCTTTTTCAGCATCTTTTCTTTTCTTCTAAATCCTCAAGTCCAGAAAAGATTCTGGAATCCACAACAAGGAGTAGACTCAACGTTCCCTACCTTTTCTCTTGCAGGCAGGTGACAAACATTACCACCCCAGCTGTGCACGATGCAGCAGATGCAACCAGATGTTCACAGAAGGAGAGGAAATGTATCTTCAAGGTGAGGCGGACTCAAGAACACTAGAAGCTTTCCCTGCTGGGGGAAAGGAAATCTTGCTATGTTTGTTTCATTGTTTTTAGAGAAGGAGGCATGTTATTAGCTGTGAGGCTACCCCAATCCAAGAAGATTATGGCCAAAAGTTACCTCATCAGTTGGTATTAATCAGCCAAGCAACTGACATGCTGGCAGTGAGCCCCTGAGGCTGTTCACGAATGAACTTGTGATGCTGCCTTAATCAAGTGAATAGGACTCGACATTTGATGCCTCGGATGTGAGGGAAGAGTGAAAATCAGCAATACCTCCTCTCCAACTCTTCCCAGGAATATGCTTAGGAAACAAAAGATTACAAGAAAATTTCTAGAAATTTCTAGAAATGTTACTCATTTGATGGCTACTTTTTTTCTTCTTTTACTCTCCTGTGAGAAGGGCTTTTTGAGGCCTCCCAGGCTGCTGTTCTCTGGGTTTTCAAGAAGAAAATCTCATATTTGATGAATTATGTCACAGACTTGTTTCACCCCATTAAGATGATTAGCTCTTATATTGAGAGAGAGAGAGACAGAGAGAGAATGGGAGATAACAAGAGAGAACCCATTCTCTGAAAGAGAAATTTCTGGTGTCAAAGAGGTACTTTTTACCAGGGAGCCATTGGAATCCCAGCTGAATTTTGGGAAGCTGAATTGGGAAGACTGCTTGAACCGAGGAGCTCAAGACCATCCTGGGGAACATAGGGAATCCTCAACTGTGTGTGTGTATATATATATGTATGTATGTATATATATGACCAAATATATACATATATATATAAAATAGACCATATATATGTGATCATAGTTTTCATGAAACTGATTTTATATATACACACACACACATACACACACATACATGATCAGTTTTTATGTTCTCTGAAATTCTGGAACTTCTCAGAGAGGCTTTAAGAGAGGATTCTCTTCTAGTCAAACAGCACCATCTGTGCAAGCATTTTACTATTTTTAGCTGGAAAAGAGTTCTTAATCAAACAAGGGTTTATCAGTAAAATTAGCAAAACCCATAAGAGCTGTTGCTCATTCCGTTGTGGTAATTACAATTACTGAGTCTCAACTACCTGTGCATGTCATGTCTTGATTTCTCTTTGCAGATAGCACGATGTGTACTTGTAATGAGTGGTTGGCTTTTCTCTCTCAGTTTTGTTTTTAGGCAGCTTAGAAAAATCTACAGAAAGGATTCTTGAGTATTAAAGCAAAGCCTGGCTACTCTCCCCTTAAAAAAGGCTAGCTACATGAGAAATTGACAAACCAAACTTCTTTTTGGCTTTAGAGTGATCACTCTGAAAACTGTGATTAAAAACATCACAGAATTTTGAAAGGCCTTATGAAGGCAAGTGACAAGCACCTGCATCTGTGGCCTCATGAGGGATTTATATGACACATTTTCCACAGACAACAGGCCTTACATCTGCAGTGGCAATAGGCAGGTGTCACTCTGCGTTTCTCAGCACAAAGCAGATTTATTCTTTATTTGGTCTGTGGGCTTAGATTTTAGCCTATCAATTCTAGCACTCAAAAACAAGGACGCAGGAGTGCCAGTCAACACTGTCTCTGCTGGAAACAGACTCAGAGGCTCTGGGTGCAGCTCTGCAATTCAGAGTGGTTCTGGAGACTGGAGAGAGAAGGTTTCAAGCTGTGCACGAATACAATACATTCGGGCTACGAATAAATGGCTATCTGTTAAGGCTGCATTTGGAATTCCAGGGATTGCTCTAAACCTTCTGGAGTTGTGCTTCAGAAGCCTTTGCATGCCCTCTCGGCACATCTTTGAAGAAAGAGCAGTTTCATCTTCTTCAGCATCTGATGTTCTGTCCGAGTCACATTCCTTGTGTGCCTGACGTCTGGAGAACAATAGTGCCATTGTGCGCAGACCCGGTGTCCTGGCCAGTGACTCCTGCTCAGCAGAACCTTCACAGCAAATGCTTCTCCTGAGCCTGCACCTGACCCCTGGGCCCTCCACATTCAGAGGATTTCCTGTGCTTTGTAGTCAGCCTTTGAGCCAGAGTTAGTGCTGAAGAGACCTATACGTCTGTCTGCTTTTTGTTTGATTTTTTTTGTTTGTTTATTTTGGCTCTGGGTTAAGAAGATGGAAAAAATGATTGTTAGATAAGGATTAAAGTATTATTCTGATACAAAATGTATTTTTTCTTGCCATTAATTTAATATTAGTTTAGCTCAGTGGTGTGAAATAACTCATGAGTTATTTTAATTTGGTGACTTTTCAAGCATGCACAGGTTATTGCTTAAAAGAGATAAAGATTTTGGCCAGGTGCGGTGGCTCACGCCTGTAATCTCAACACTTTGGGAGGCCGAGGTGGGTGGAACACTTGAGGTCAGGAGTTCCAAAGAGCCTGGCCAACATGGTGAAAACCCGTCTTTACTAAAAGTATAAAAATCAGCTGGGCATGGTGGTGTGTGCCTGTAATCCCAGCTACTTGGGAGGCTGAGGCAGGGGAATCGCTTGAACCTGGGAGGCGGAGGTTGCAATGAGCTGAGATTGTGCCACTTATACTCCAGCCTGGGAGACAGAGTGAGACTCTATCTCAAAAGAAAAAAAAATAAGGTAAAGATTTAAATCATGAAATTTGGAAACTCTGATATTCATACTGTGAATTTTATTTAATTTTTGCTTTCGACTTAGCAACTTTATTTTCTTAAGTCTTCTTAAGTGCTCATTTAAGTTCTGTCCATCCCCACACTTGAATGTGTCCTTACGTGAACATATCAACCTTACCCATAATCATGATTATAGATGACATATTTTGTATGTATCTAGTCATACAAAATCATATGAGGAGGCATTGGATTCTTACAAGATAAGAGCTTCTATTGGAGATAAGTGTTTTGTTTAATTCTGTGATGCTGGTACCATACATTAAATTGCTTCATAATACAAGAAAGTGAGACTGTTGACTCAGGAACAGAAAATAACACCTAAATAGTTACTTTACTACTTTAAAAGCGGAGACTTTTTAGAAAATTACTTAAAAGGTTCAAGGCCAAAGGAAATTTTTGGATTTATAATTTAACTTTCACCCTTTCTGCTAGTTGGTTTAAGTTCTCATTTCTGTGTAGGTGACTATGTGTAATTGAATCAATGAAAAATTCAGTAAGTTTTGCTTCTGGATATAGACTATCTGGTTGACTTTATTCCCCTCAACTAAACTGCTTGGTTGTTTTGATGTTAGATAAACAATGCCTACTATTTTTTAAATTAAATGCAACTTGTAGTAAGCACTCAGGCATTCCTTTTAAAGGACGATATAAGGTTTAACAATAACAAGACACGATTAAGAACTAAATATCTCTTGCATCAAAAGACTCATGCCCAGTTAGTGGTCTCTGTGGTCTAGAATTATGATCTTTATCAAACAAGCTTGGGCTAGATCAGGAAAACTTGCTTAGACTTTGGACATGTCTGATTTTTGTGTTATGACTTACTTGGACATAAACCAATAACACCTTCCTATGATGGGGAAAGAGGGATAGGAGCCATTCTCAGAAGTGCTGTCTAAGAGGACTTTGTATCTTTCCATTTTCCTGGCTCTTAGCAGTGCATTCTGTCTTCTCAGGTTCCACCGTTTGGCATCCCGACTGTAAGCAATCTACGAAGACCGAGGAAAAGCTGCGGGTAAGAACACAATTAAAACATGACGCCAGCTGCATTTGTAGGCCATACGCTCATGGTCACTAATTCTTGGGGTTAGGGTTTAGGTGAAATTACTTTTTACTGACTTTTTCCCTTATAGCAAACTAAGTTCAAAGGCCATTTGGCTAGGGAAAGGGGTCCCCTCTTACCTTAAATGTACTGTGGTTTTTGTTCCAAATGCTTGTGTTAGACAAAGTAAGCCTTGGCCTCACTAGTCAGCTTCTTAGAAAAGCATTCAAGGGAAAAGTCAAATCATGCAGATGGGAAAACAATGACTCATCAGGTTCCTGGTGCAGCATCTGCTGACCTCACCAGACTGTTTTGGTGCTTAGTCTATAATGCACTACTCTGACCCCAGCTCTACATTAGTACATTTTACTGGTCTCTCATTTTACTGAATCCAAATTCACCAGAATAGACTCTAAAAGCTGATGGCTTGTCAGATAAAACCTATGGGGAAAATAATAGCGAACCAAGATAGGTAAATTAATCAATTCTCAGAACACCTCCAGATGACAGTGTTTTATGTTTCGGAAGCAAAGTGCTGTGCACAGTTGTAAAACCATGATCATAATCTCTATCCTGTTCAGATGCCCCGTTTGTCATGTGGGCTAGGAAGTATTTTTCAGTGCAATAATCAGACTGAATGAATCCCAGTGCCTCGGGTTAACCTAACTTAACTTAGTGGTACCCATAGAAAACTGTGGTACCCATGGAAACACTTTTTCTCTGAATAACTGAATAAAGGTAAGAACAGCTGAAGAGGAATTTGCCCACCAAACTTAGGGTGGTTTCGCTCTCTGTTTTTGACACACAGACTCCTGAAGTCCATCAGCCGGATAGTCACACACGGGCATAGTCACCCGGTTGTGGGCTCTACACTCTGGGATTTTTGAGAAACTATGGATGCTTTGGAAATGAGTTACCTTTAATAAAATATGAGAACATAAATGATCATCCTTATTGTGACTTTTATCATAAGAATGTAAAGTTCACAGCATAGCTTGAGGATGCTGCCCAGAACCTAACTTAGTGGTACCCATAGAAAAACTGGAGTTTGACTGCACCCTGTTTACTGTCTCAGGGAAAAGAATGGCCTGGATTTATTTTGGAGGCCAGCCTCTAGTGCGTAGTGTAATCTCTTCTCGATCTGCCATTAGCAGACATCAGAAGCTATGTATGTAATCCCCAGTGGCAGCACGGCCAGTTTATTGATGGGGTCTAGTCACTGATGTGTGACTTGTGAAGGGGTGACTTGGCTTTGGAGCAGTGATTATCAGTGAGACCCACTCGCTCTGCCTTTTTTCAGATCCCTTTGCCTGCTGCCTTGGGAATTACAGCTCTTATTTTCCTAGTGTGTTTGCTTTATTCTCTGAATGAACCACACGTATGCACAGGAGCTATTTTTCCTCTGTTTTTTGTTTTTTCTTTTCCTCCTCAATTCACATCCATCAATCAGATGGAAACATTTTACCATTTGGATATTTTAGAAACTTGTCCCTTCGCTGTGACCCTGAACACACACAGTGCTTTTAGAATGCAAAATTATTGTGAACATACTTAAGTTGAGAGGGGAGGGGGGAAAACGCTTTTTCTCTGAATAACTGAATAAAGGTAAGAACAGCTGAAGAGGAATTTGCCCACCAAACTTAGGGTGGTTTCGCTCTCTGTTTTTGACACACAGACTCCTGAAGTCCATCAGCCGGATAGTCACACATGGGCATAGTCACCCGGTTGTGGGCTCTATACTCTGGGATTTTTGAGAAACTATGGATGCTTTGGAAATGAGTTACCTTTAATAAAATACGAGAACATAAATGATCATCCTTATTGTGACTTTTATCATAAGAATGTAAAGTTCACAGCATAGCTTGAGGATGCTGCACAGAAACCACCCAAGTAGCTATAGTTTGTACTCTCTCTCTAGTGTTGCTTTTGGGTTTTTTAGTAATCATTTTAACTTCATCTCTGATGAAGTCTTTTGGGAGATGAAGAGAGGAATGCTAATGAGGCCAGACTGAGTGGAATGTGGGTCTTTTCTGTATCAGGATTGCTTGAGCTTGCAGATCATGTGACTAAAATGATTTTTAAAAAACAACAATACTCTGATTACATCTTGATGGAAAACTATCTGGATAAGCTTATGAAAACAACTAGTGAAATACTTCCACCCATTCTGGCCAAGAGGAGCTCTTGTTTTCTTCCTTTAGTAAACCTTCCAGAGAATTCTAAAGCTCTTCTCCTAAACCCAGCGTTCACTACTTGGGAGGTCAGGAGAGGGCTCTGGGTCACTGTCTTTGGAAAGCCGGGAAGTGAGGAAGAGGCCCCCATGTGCCCAGAGCCAGGGTTCACACTGATGTTGGGGGGGTTAAAGGGAATAGGTTTTGAACAGAGAAATGCATCTTGTGCTCTCTTAAGGGTGTGTCTACACATCACAAATCTTGAGCCAAGATTTCCAGGCCTTTCACTTTTCACATTAGTGCAGTTTCCACAGCAAAATGAAAATGTTTTAAGAATCTTTCAGCAACCCCACTGAGTAATCCACATTTTTGATATTTAAGAACTCATGGGGCATTTGTAACAACAGATTCTCAAGAATGCTTCTCAATTGGCTTCACTGGCTTCTTACCCTTTATATATTATAAGAATGTCTAAGCCAAAATAGATGGAGAGGAATTGAAAGGGGTTGGAGCTTAGATAAATATACTGTAACTTGAAGACCATTTAATATGCTTTTAAACATGGGCCCAAAAATTGACCCAAAAAATCCACATGTACATCAATGAAAGGATCCCACTTTATGTTTACTATCAAGTTAGTTTTCCCTAAGGTGTTGTTCTTTTTTTTTAATAATACTTCTGATTTGAGGCTATTTCTATGTTCATTCTTCCCTTTTCTCATGTTTCATGGCAGCTGCCAAACATTCGGCGTTCTTCATCCGATTTCTTTTATCCCAAAAGTCTGATTCGACGCACAGGACGGTCTCCGTCTCTGCAGGTTGGCGCTGTGTCTAGGCTGGGGCTCAAAGCCACTGTCCTGGGCCGAGGCTTCTGTTGCTTTTCCCCCGGGCTGCTTTTCTCACATAACTTCTTCGGCTCCTGCAGAAAGCAGATGCTTTTCTCACACCACGAGCGCCTCTCACACTGACTCTGGCCGTTGTCTTCTTGGATGGATGTTTTCATTCAGAGCAGCAGCTAAAGCTTTGTGTCTGTAAAGCAAGCACATCAGAAGCTGCCTTTTGGTCCTGTGTTGCCACGTTTGTTCACTGCACAAGTATCTGCTGAGCACCCAGGTGTAGAACTGGGTTGAATGTAGCAGATCCAGGCTCATAGGTGAGGAAAGACAGATAAATAATTATAAGGGTGGTACAGAAACCCATCCCAGGCTACGGATCGCAAAGGCCACGCTCCTTGGAATATCCGATGAGGAAAAGGCCTCCAGGGTCGCTTCCTGGGAGAAGTGGTCTTGGAGTTGATTTTTAGAGGCTGGCTGAGATTTGACCATGAGGGGATGAGGAGAAAGTGGCAGACCCCATGAGGAGATGTGAAGTGTGCAGCCGAGAAAGGCAGTGCTTGGGTAGGGAGTGGTTTCACTCAAGAAAGGAAGAGTGAGGCCGAGTGCAGTGGCTCACGCCTGTAATCCCAGCACTTTGGGAGGCGGAGGCAGGTGGATCACTTGAGATCAAGAGTTCAAGACCACCCTGGCCAACATGGTGAAACCCCGTCTCCACTAAAAATAGAAAAATTAGCTGGGCATTGTTGTGGACGCCTGTAATCGCAGCTACTCAGGAGACTGAGACAGGAGAGTTGTTTGAACCCTGGAGACAGAGATTGCAGTGAGCCAAGGTTGTGCCACTGCACTCCAGCCTGGGCAACAGAGCAAGACTCTGTCTCAAGAAAAAACAAAAAAAACAAAAAAACAAAGGAACAGTGAAGTGGGAAAGGAAGAAACTGAGAAACAGGCACCTACTCTATGGAGGCTGGGGGATTTATGTACAATCTCATTTGCTCTCCCTAAGAATTCCTGCAAGGTAGCTCATCTTATTCCCATTTTACAGATGGGGAGACTGAGACCCATCGTAGTTAGGTAACTTCTCCAGAGTTACTCTACTGGTAAGTGGAAGAGCTAGGATTGGAAAACACGTTTCCGTGAGCCCATCACTCATATTCGTTCTGCTATACTGCAAGGGGACAGTGAGACAAAAACCTGAAAGAAGCAGAAGAAGGGGAACATTAAATACTGGCTGAGGCTGTTGTCAGGGGGCCACTGATGGTGTGTAAGGAAGAGAGCAGTGCCACCTGCCCGGGGCATCCTGCAGGAGAAGGGAAAGGACTCAGCCAGCCCAGCAGAGCAACAGCCAGGCTGGAGATTATGCTGCATGCACAGACCTGACCTTTAGGGGTTTCTGAGAATCAGTGGAAACCTTAGCCTGTTAAACTAAAAGGGACTTTCTACAATCTCATCTTGGCTCAGATGAAACCTGTTCTCTAGCTCTGCTAACAATTCAGGGTTGCACTGCAGCACTTTGGCTGGGCTGTGTGTCTGTACGTTCTGTGCCTGTCAGAATTGCACTAAGGATAAGAAGAGTTTGAGTTTCTATTTTTGTTAAGCCTTCACCTTCTTTCTTTGCACGATGGAAAAGACAAGTGTAGAAGCTTAGAGTAGAAGAGAATCTTTTAGAGGTCAACCCCCTGAGTTTCCTCGTTGATAGAATGAAGTCAGATGGGCTGGGCATGGTGGCTTATGCCTGTAATCCCAGCACGTTGAGAGGCCAATGTGGGCAGATCGCTAGAACACAGGAGTTTGAGACCAGCCTGGGCAACATGGCAAAACCCCATATGTACCCCTCCAAAAATACAAAAATTAGCCAGGCGTGGTGGTGCATGCCCGTATTCTTAGCCACTTGGAAGGCTTAGATGGGAAGATCACCTGAGCCTGGGGAGGTTGAGGCTGCAGTGAACCAAGATCATGCCACTGTGCTCCAGCCTGCGCGACAGGGTGAGACCCTGTCTCAAAAAAAAAAAAAAGGCGGACAGATACAGGAGCATGTCTGAGACTGCACAGGCTGTCATAAACAGCAAGCCAACTACATACTTTGGTTCTTGACCCCAGGCCTTGGTGCCTTGCATTGTCCCATGATACTGGGTTCCTATGATATGATGTATTTTTCATACAATCTTCACTCTGTGTTAAAGTTTCAGCTCCAGTGGCAGAGTTTCCACACACAGTGAAGTCAAAGTCGCATGAATCCAGAGGAACAGCCAAAGACTGTCCCCACTGCAAATGAGTGTTGCTCAGAATTAGTGCTTCCACTTGGCAAAAAGCCACTTGTTCAATAGCTTTTTTATTTTTTTATTTTTTCCGGTAGTATACTGTTAAATAGTATTACATTTTGTTAGCTTGTGGCTACAACCAAGTAATACATTTTCATGACTTGAAGAAAAATGCCATCATCAAGTGTGAAATTTTTTAGTTTGCCCCAGACCTTTAAGCTTGAGAGATTTGGAGCATCTTGAGAGAGAGAGAGGGAGCGAGAGAGATCTGTTTACAATAACTTCTCTCCTCCTGTCTTGTTGTTCAAACGGGACATCTGATTCCTATTATCCAGCTGTAACTATCAATGAAGTCAACTTTAGCTCCATCACAGAAAGTTGTAAACAGCTTGGGACCTGGCAGAGAAAATGGGCTGTGTGGCAAGATCTCCCTTCACCCGTTGGAGATTGAAGAATGGCTCATCAGTACCTTTAAAATGCCAGAAAACTTCAAAGCAGTGCAGTCCTCAAGTCACAGATATTTTATCTTTTAAGTACTTTGGCTACACAGCAGCTCATTTCCCACCACTTAAAACTGAGTACCCTTAGTTATTAGATCAACTGTCTTCCTTGCAGGGACATTCAGCACTCTGTGCTTCAGAAATAAGCCCTGGGTTTGTTGTAGAGGAAAGTAAAATCTATAGCAGGAAAGTCATTTTGTTATCTAGATTGAGAATGAGCTCCATCTTTTCCTTTTGCCTGAATGACAGGTAAAAGAAAATGGTGAAAATAGAATTACCTGAGAAAAACAAATTCTGGTTCCACTCACTCGGAAGTTTTCTATGAATAGCAAATTTTGTCTACAGGTAAACTCAGTACTGAGCATGTATAATTCATTATAGACAAAGCACATGGTATTCCCAGGACCAAGTCTGTAATAATCTGGGGGGTGTCACTTGCTTTCATTCTAAAAGGGAGTTTTTCTCAGCTATGCCTTTGGAGGTTAAAGCATGAATTGACTGACCTACAAAATGGGCATGACTTTTTTCTTTGAAACTAATATTTACCTATTATAACATATGCACTTGTCAATCTATAATATACCAAACAAATACCATGTGTATATTTTTAAAGGAGCTAATTTGAGGCTTTATGTCTGTCTAGAACAAGCAAGTAATGTTAGTGGTGTTTGATTTTTGTTTTGTTCATGTCACTACAATACATACTGTTTTACTCCCAGCTTTCACTTCGTTCAAGTATTTCATCCTTTCGAGGGTGTCTTTACAATTCATCAGACAGCTGAATGTAGAGGTGTAAAGATTTGTACTGGAAAGATCGCATGTAGTAAAGACTGATGGCATCTGTGAAACTGTCTCCAGAGAAGTGGTGTGTGCCCACAGCACCCTCCTGCCTCCTCTCCAAACACAAAATTATTTTTTCCCAAAGGAGTTGATTTCACTCTTTCTTTGCTTAGCAGCGGGCATTCAGTATGTGCAGGTTTTTAAAGTATTCCTTCTTCTACAGCTGTTATCACCACCTTGTCTAATGAACTTCAACAAAAACCCAAGGCAGGTACTGTCAACATCAACAGGATTTAGTATAAGGTGTCAATCACCTTATATCAGTAGTTGTCCCATCAGTGTTCATAAGATCATTCTGATCTGGTTGCCAGATGCCTGTAGTTTCTCTCTCCTTAGAGCATGGCTTTGGATAAATGCAAATTAGATGAATATAGTTGTTGCATCCCTGCTCCTGCTGAATGGGGGGAGGGCAGGGACTACAAAGTGCTTCCCAGCACTGTCCTTCTAGGAGACCCATGTGCATGGTGGACCATAATGGAAAGTAAATGGAAAATGTCATTTTTCTACTTACTCAACTGGCAGCTCTGGTAAGTGTTTTTAATGGTTAGTATTTGAAGAATAATAAGAGCTGGAGTGGAAACAGAAGAGGATATCTTCAATTAATTTTCATTCTGTGACTGTGCCTTCTGAATGGTAGGACAGATGGACAAAATCAAGGCATAGGGGAAAAATAGCTGAAAGGTATTTAGAGGGCTTTTCAAAGAAATTTCATGAAGAAAACAAAAAGATGTGCTTTTTAAAGCATTTGGCTACTTATTTGTAATTAAATACCATTTTTTGTCTCTCCTGTTGAATACCAGACACTTCTGGTGAGGCGTCTCTTTGTTAATTTGTGTGTGTGTGTGTGTGTGGAAAGTAAAAATAGTTGTTGAAATCAAAAGTAAAGACATGAAAGTGTGCTGGGAGATGACTATAGAGTAAATGGACCCCTTCATCATGAGAGACTGAGTGAGAACAGCCATATCAACAAGAAGGTTCTTACCGAAGGCTCCTTTCTTCCTTTTACCAAAATAAAGTTTCAACTACTTGCCTAATCTCACTGGCAAAATCCTCTGAGTGATCACAACCATATATAATTCTTTATCTATCTACCTTGCCTGCTTTCTTCATCCCACCCCACCCCACCTCCACGCCAAAGATGGTATCAGAAGATGCCAAAGATAGCATCAAAAGAAAGAACTGAATTTTTCCAACTGCACTTTCAAGTTGGTTTTTCTGCAAGGAAAAGGTGCTTAAATGCAAGTAAATAAATTGTACCTGCTTTTAGAATGTTAGCCATAAGTCCTTGCTGTTTCCTTTATTCTATAGCAGTGGGCTTACCTTTGGTGATAAATATTTGAAATTGTACACATTTATAACATAGACCAGAGAGTAATTTTGTTCA